AATATACACTTTAATAACCTTTCCTCTGCCCTTCTCAACACCCCATTGTAAAATCCCGGCTTGTCAGGATAATGTTTAGCAGCACTGACAATGTTGGTTCTGGAATGTAGTTCATGGCTGTGTTTCTGGCTGCTGGGTAATTTTCCAATCCTTAGGAATGGGCAGTTGTTTTATGTACAAGTAGTGGCTTTTTCGCTCATACACAAAATACAGGTGATTTAGCCATCTACCAAGAAAGAACTGTCTTCCTGCTTGTTGATGAAACCCTCCCTTGCCCGCCCCCACTGGGACCACACGGGTTTGGAAGGCCCTCCCCTGAAGTAAATACTGGGCAACCCTGCAGGAAATATGGGCTAGAGAACAAGTGTTTTTGAAATTTTCAATCAATATGGACTCTGATGCTTCTCTTTTGTGTAGCTTCCTGCTCTGGTTCATCTTTCTCAGTCATCAACACTTTTCTGGAACAAATCTTTCTTAAGCTCATGATGCTTTCTAGCTGGTATGCTGTTGTTTTGTAATCTGCCTATAATAGAAAAGTAAATAAAACCTTGGTTCCCTAAAGGCCAGCTAGCTAGGAGTTAATGGCTTCCAGCCATGTCAAGCACATTGAATGGAGTTGTTTTTGGTACAAGCTTCTTCATTCAAGGTTTTGTGTGTTTAATTATGTATGTGTAAAGTGCCAGTCTGCATGCCTCTGAGTCCAGCCTAGCCTGGAAATATTAACTACAATAGCATATAGAAGATACCAAGAGATGAGACTTAACTCTTCACACATACATCCTTTATTCCAAGATTCACGTGGTAGAGAATTACATCCTAGTGGAGATGACAACAGAAGCAGACTTGTTAACTGAAGAAACATCTCAATTAAGAAGAAATAAATTAGAAGAATCTGAAGCAGGCAGAAAGGGATCATTGTGGCAGAAAGTACACTGGACTGGCCAGAGGGAGGTTGGTTTCTAAACCTGACTTATTGCTGCACTTCTCTGGGGCCTTTTTCCACCTATCCAATGTGGGAGTTGGATGCAGCTCTTAGGAAAACATTCGTATGTTTAATATTAGTTCTGACCATTCGCAAATAAGCCATCATTTTTTTTCAAATTATAATATGTAATATGATTAAGTAATGACATAGCTTTTCATCCTAATGGCAGCCATAACAAATATATATCAATATGCTTGTAACCTCGGCCCTTAAGGTTTCACCAACTTAAGGGCCAGTCAGTTGACAAAAGGGAGAAACCTCCTTTTAGGTTTCATTTGTGTAGAGAGGACCCAGGTCCCTCCTGTGAGATTTTCTTGGAGACCACTACCAGTGCCTTAGGAGGCTACTTCAAGGAAGAAGGGGATATTTTTCTTTTAACCAGAGTAGCTCTACTTTTGGCTGTGTTACATTTTGGAGTTTTGTGTTAATATTTTGGGGTGAGGGAAGGGGAAGTTCTCTGGCTTTTAAAAGATTTGGCAGTTTTCTTTTTAATCCTCACCCGAGGATATTTTTCAGTTTATCTTCAGACAGAGTGAGAGGAGAGAAAGGGAGAGAGAGAGAAACATCAACGTGAGAGGGACACATCATTTGGTTGCCTCATGCACAAGCCCAACCAGGGCCAGGGACAAACTGCATGCAACCAAGGTACGCGCCCTTGGCTGGAATCTAACTCATGACTCATTGGTCCGTGGGCCGACGCTCTACCGCTAGGCCAAATTGGCCAGGGAAGGTTTGGCAATTTCTAATAGTGATATATAAAGGGAACCTTTTACATTACTAATTTCATCATTCTGTGATACATCCAGCCTTCTCTATTCTCTACATATGTAGAATTTTCTCTTTTTTATATAAGCAGCACATGCAGTATAGTCAAGAGTATGAGTCTTTCACCCTCACCTTTGGGGACAGAGACAAGAAATCCTAAGAAATCTACTCAGAAATGATGTCAGTGGCTCCTAGGTTTAGGTGCTAATGGGAAGGGCCTGCTGCTCTTGGAGAACTATGAACTTTTTAGCAGAATGGGGTTTTGATGGCAAGGAGGTGAAATGGACACAGTTTGTAGCTGTGTCTTTTTCCTTATCTATAAAAGAAAGGGGTTCACTTAGATGACAGCTACTTTCTCTTTCATCTATAAAATTCTCAGAAGGGGGTTTTTTAAAGCTGCTTCACTCCTGCCATTGGAGAACCAGCATACTCAACCTGCCCATATGCCCAGCCCCTCAGGGAGTCTCTTCTTTGGGCTCTGAATTAGAATGGATGCCTTGACTGAGAAGTTTATTCTTACTGTTTTGAAGTAGGGTGGAGAATACCTATTTGTGAATTAGTAAAGAACTGGAGTAAGGAGAAGCATAAGTTTTATAGAGTGGATTATTCTCCTTAAATTCTCATTTGTAGCTTGATCTGTATAAAATAAAATATGTCATGTTGAAAAACCTATGTAAAGCAATGGGAAACAGAAATTTTGGTTGTTTTAAAACCACAGTTTATTCACCTACTGCAGTTTGGCCCACACCTTTCTTGACTATGATGTCAACTTCCTAACTTTGAATCACATATGTTATGTGAGATCTAGTAAAATAGGTTGCAAGTCAGTTTTTATTATAATCTTTATTTTTAGTGACTTGGAACTGTTAAGAGAGTTTCTTAGTCATGCAGAAAAATTCATCCTTAGCGCAAACTTCCTTGGTTTAGTCTTTAAGAGAAGATTCTAGATCTTATAAAAACCTTTTTTTTTTTTTTTTTGGTACGTGCTTCTAACAGGAACCGAACCCAGGACTCTCTGGTCCACAGGCCAACGCTCCAACCGCTAAGCCAAACCGGCCAGGGCTAAACCTAATTTATTTTAAGGCTAGAAATCCATTGATAAATGATCACCATAAAGCATAATGGTCTTGAAATACACATACTAAAAATAGAAAGGAATTACAAAAATAAACACAAATCACAGTTCTCAATCTGATATACAATTTGTAGGGACATTAATATCATTTACCACTCCCCTTCCGTTTTCTTTAGCACCAGGGAGAGTACCTGCAGAGAGTATATTAATTCCTGAGGACTGTGTCACTTAGTTACTTGGTGTGTGAGCAAATACATGTCATACAGGCCTTATTTTGCTTTTACATCCTTTTGGCACTGTTACATAAGGTGCTTAAAGTATTGAGCCTCTTTCAGTTTTTAAGAGACCAATTAAAGCTGGTTTGATATTCTCTCTTATTAGTCGTTCTCTTCCTCAGTCTCCTTGCTTATGTTCTCCTGGTTTGACTTTCCTTCTGACAGACTATTATGGTGAACAGACCAACAGACTGGAAACAAAAAGATTGGAGTCCTCTGCACCTTCTACAAGTTTGCATCTGTCTTTTTCCTTATCTATAAAAGAAAGGGGTTCACTTAGATGACAACTACTTTCTTTTTCATCTCTAAAATTCTCTATTGGCCATTCTCTTTTTGTCTACATTCCTACCTCTTCCCTGTTTCCTCCCTCAGCTACTCAGGATATGTAGTTGTTTAAAAATACTCATAAAATGAACATGGTTATAAGGAAACATCAATAAATGCACTTGCTGGCAAGATAGTGGAGTTTAGAAGTTCTTATTTTGGTAGTTTCTCATTTTGTTTGCCTTTCTTATGCCCTAGTCAAATACAGCCTACAGTTATAATTTATTTGGTCTGCACAGTCGTTGCAAAATAAAACAAATATATTTTCTCCCATCAGAAAGTAAAAATGTAAAGGCTTGGTATTATCCTGTATTGGTGAAGCTATAAGGGAAATACTTTTCACAGATTGTTATGGGAATGTAATTGGTGCATTGTTTTTGGAGAGCAGTTTGGCAGTATCAGAGTTTTTTTTAAGAGTACATATAAATTGACTCAGTGATTTCAAAGGTCACTAAAGAAACATGTAAATATTAAGAGGCACATTCAAATATCTTCACTGATATATGCTGTTTGTAATAGCAAAAAATTGAAAATATCCTGCATTTCCATTAAGAAGGGCATGTGTGTGTGCGTATGTATAAATATGTATTTCATCATATATGTTTAATGGAAAATCCATTCATTTAGATATATAAATACATAGATATATATATCTATATATATAGATATCTAATATCTATATATATATATTAGATATGTATATTCTTTCTTTTTTTTTTTATCCTCACCCGAGGACATTTTTCTATATTTTTGTTCAGATAGAGTGGGAGGGAGAGAGAGAGAGAAACATCGATATGAAAGAGACACATCGAGTGGTTGCCACCCACACAATCCAACCGGAGCCGGGGACAAACTGCAACAGAGGTACATACCCTTAGTGGTAACCGAACCTGGGTCTCTCTAGACTGCAGGCTGACGCTCTAATCGCTGAGCCAAACTGGCCTCCATATATATTCTTATCAGATACTAAAAATAGTACAAAAAATGAAGTTGATCTGTAGGTACTAACGTATTTTAATAGAAAAAGAAGACAGAACCATGTCTTCACTATGATCCATTTATATAAAAACAACATAATTGCTTATATATATAAATGATTACTATGTATTTTTGTATACAAAGTGTGTGTGTGTGTATACACACATAGAAAAATGTTGGCAACATAGAAAAATGGTTGGAAGGATACATACCAAATTGTAATAGTAATTTCCCTCTAAGGAGGGAAATGGTATAGGAATGGAGACAGAAGGAGAACTTCATTTTTTAGTATATATACTCACCTGTTACATTTTTAAAAAGTAATTATGCATTACCGATATAAAAATGAACAAAAGGAAAATTAAAAAGGAGGATAAAGAATTACTTCCTAAAGAATGAAAGAGGCAAAAAGATTAGCAGAAAATTCATTAAAGATTAGTAGGAGAACATCATTTAGAGGATATTCCCAAAACTTCAGGATTGGATAGGAACCGTGATTTGTATTTTAGCGTAGCTGCTTAGCACTTACTGTAATAGCTCTAACCTTCCATTTCTTTGTGTGTCCAACTTACTCTTTTTACTTGTCTGTGTGCTACAGGTAACTCGGGACCAGATGAAGGTGTTTATACAGCAGGAATTTAAGAAAGTTCAGAAAGTGATTGCTGATGAGGAGCAGAAGGCCCTTCATCTAGTCGACATCCAGGAAGCAATGGCCACAGCTCATGTGACTGAGATACTGGCAGACATTCAGTCCCACATGGACAGGTTGATGACTCAGATGGCCCAAGCCAAGGAACAACTTGATACCTCTAATGAAGCAGCTGAGCCAAAGGCAGAGGTAAAGGAGAATGCCAAGAATTATTGGTTGCAGGACAAATAGGAGGAAACTGACAGCCATGTTTGTTAGCTCTGGAAATGCCCTCTTGTAGTTCTTAAGTGTGAATGAATTGAAAACTTAGGGTGTAAATGTTTAGACTGGTATGTATACAGTATGGAAGTACTGGCCTCTGGAACCTGCAGCCAGCACCTGGGCCTGGCAAAATATTTGTCCACCGTGACTTAGAGGAGCATAGTCACTGGGGGCAAGTACTAATCACGGTTAATAAGGAAAGCTAGAAATTAGAGCCAAAGAAGAGGACTGTTGACAGATCCCAAGTTGTGAAATTAGCCTATAAATAGAGTAATCATAGGGATGGAAACTGGGCTGAAGGAGAATTAAGTCAGGAAGTAGAGCATAAAGCAGGCCGGAATGAACGAATTTGGTCTGATTCTGTGAATAGTGCAAGGATTCCTCAGTCTGGTTTTCATATGGAGCCAACTACATAAACCAGGGCACAACTGCTGGATTAAGAGAGGCATGTGGGCTAGGACATTGTGAGGATCAAAAAAAGGTAGTGTGAAAGAAAGATACATGTTGAATCACTGCGAATACAGCATTAGGTTCATTGTTATTATTTAACTGGAATAAAGGACCTCAGACATTTTACCAAACAACATGTGCAGGCATTTAGAATCTGTTTCTAAAATAATTTAAGGCAGCCATTTAAAAAATATATAACATTTATAACATTTTTTAGCCACTGAGGAGGTTATTGTTCATTAAATTTCAGAGCATTATGTTTACAATTTTAATCGAGCTTATGCCAGATGGGTTTAGGGTGGGCCCTTATTGAAGAAAATCTAGGAGGAATCCTATGGACTTTTCAGGACTCACTCAATAAGTTCAGCTTAAATTAGCAGTCTGCCTGGGCCCAGGAGAACCTAGCCATAGAATAAGCCAGCCAACAGATGAGCCAAGATATAATCTAGGAGGCAGGTTTTGTCCAAGCCATTCTGACAAGAAATATAAAGAGACCATTGGACAGTTATTCACTTCACTCATTCGAGGTTCTTGATTAATTTTCATGAATGTGTGAAAAGAATAGAATAGCTCTATCCTCCTCAGAATTAAGGCAGTGTGTGCCTAAATAAGTTTCTAGATAGGAAAGAGAGTACTTTATAGTCATCATTTTATTTAATTTTTTTATCAGCACTCATTATGTCCATTTTAGAGATCAGATATTGAGATACAGAGAACTGCAGAGAAACTGACACAAGTGTTACTTAGTTAGAACCAGAATTCAGATTTAAGTCTATCCCATTCCAATGCCTGTGCTTTGTCCCTACTCTATTGAGAAGAATCAGTGTCCTAGACAACTTTGCATTTCTAAGAAATTTTACATCGTGGAGGTGGTCACTTTGTGTCTTTTTTAAAAATATATATATGTTTTTATTGATTTTTATAGAGAGAGAGAAACAAACATTGATTGGCTATCTCCTGCATGCCCCTTACTGGGGATTGAGCCTGCAACCCAGGCATGTGCCCTGACCAGGAATCGAACCTGCGATCTCTTGGTGCATGGGACAACGCTCAACCAGCTGAGCCACACTGGCCAGGGCCACTTTGTGTCTTAATAAATAAAATGTTCAGCCAGAGTTAAATCAAGGGATCAGTGCCATAACTCTCCTCAAATTGGACTCTCGCATTTATTCTGTGTTGATTAGATTGTTTTTTCAAAAATAAAGATTTAATTTTGAGAGAGCCCCTTCTCTTTTATTTTCATTTCAATAAGTGAATTTAGCCTCTCCCCAACATTAATTGCACTACACTTGTTAACTCTGATGGACTTACTCTTAGGGATGATAAGCTAACAAGACCTGTGGACCAGGCTGTGGACAGAGTGAGCTATTAAAGACAAGAAGTAACATTCAGCTGACTAGAGCTTTTATAGAGAACAGTTATCTAACAGCCTCTCCTTCCAGCTAATCTGGTAATTTACTGATCAGAGCAAATATGTAGTACCTTTCTTTCACTCAACAGAGGAATTTTTTTCTTTGACATGATATGAGCTTTTAAAAATTACCTCCATTTTTAATTTGACCAAAAGATTTCACACCCCCCCCCAACATTTTACTATGAAAATTTTCAAACATACAGCAAAGTAGAAAGGTTTTTACAGTTATACCCATATACCTTCAACCAGATTCTACCATTAATATTTTGCTATACTTGATTTATTTTATATATATGACCATCTTTCGAACCTTCCACTCATCAGTGCATCTTATGTCTGATGCATTTAAAAGCAAATTGCAGTTTCTGATTCTGAACATGTGATTTCTTCTTTTTATTCATTGATTATTTTGTAGCGTGTTGTTTAGCTTCCAAATACTAGGGATGTTCCTACATATCTTACTGTTTTTGATATCTGATTTAGTTCCATTGTGATCAGAGAACATACTGTGAGTGATTTTAGTTTTTTAACATTTATCAAGACTTGTTTTATGGCCCAATACACAGTCTATCTTGGTGAATGTGTATGTGTACCTAAAGAGACTGTATATTCTGTACTTTGGGGTGTACTGTTCTATTAAATATTAATTAGGTGTCCAGATAATTTATTATTTTTACTGATTTGTGTGTCTTTTCTCTCAACTGTCAAGAGAGGGGTATTAAATTTCCAAGTATGATTATTAAATTATCTATCCCCTTTTAATTCTATCAACTTTTCTTCAGAGATTTTAGTCTTATCATTAGCAAATACATATGTATGCTTGTTACGTCTTCCTGATAAACTGATCCTTTAATCATCATGAAAAGTTACTCTTTTTCTCTGGTAATATTCTTTGTCTTGATGTCTATTTTATGTAATGTTGGTGTAGCCAATCCAGTCTTATGCTCACTGATTCCATGGTATATCTCTTTCCATCTAGTTGCTTTCAGTCTGTCCGTGTTGTTAGTCTGTCTCTCTTAGGCAGCATGTAGCTGGGTCTTATTCTTTTATCCATTCTGATAATCTCTGCCTTTTAATTGACGTATACAGTTCATTAACATTTAAATGTTATTAATATGGTTAAATTTAGGTCTACCATTTTATGATTTGTTTTCTTTTTGTTCCTCTTGTCTTTTCCTACTTTCTTTTGAATTTTAAAAACATTCGAGTTCTATTTTAATGTATCTATTAGCCTTTTACTTCTATTATTTTGTATTATTTTTAGTGCTTTCAATGAGGATTATGATAAAAATCATTACATTTTGAGTCTACTTAAAATTAAGTTGTCTCACTTCAAATCAAATGTAGATACCTTGAAACTATATAGGCCAATTTATCCTCTTTCCATGTTCTTTGTTATAGTATTGTATATTACAGAATCTACATATGTTATAAACACTGCACGACAGTTATCATTTTGCTTAGTCATATACTTTTAAAGAGATTAAGAAGGAAAAGAAGTTGTAATTTAATATCAGTATAAATACATAATTTTTCATGTATATATATCATTTTTAAACAAAATTTGCATAACTGTAAATTTACTGAAAGTCATTTGCACATACACTTAAAACAGGTAATTTTATGATACTGTAAATTATATTTCAAACTTAAAAATGTCACCCTGGCTGGTTTGGCTCAGCAGTTAGAGCATCAGCCCACAGACCAGAGAGACCCGGGTTCAGTTCCCACTAAGGGCACGTACTCAGTTGCAGTTTGTCCCTGGCCCCAGCTGGGGTCATGTGGGTGGCAACCAGTCAATGTGTCTCTCTCACATTGATGTTTCTCTCTCTCTCTCTTCCTCCCTCTCTCCCTCCCACACTATCTGAAGATAAATGCAAAAATGTCCTCAGATGAGGATTAAAAAAAAAAAGTCTAGATATTCTACCTGCCCAAATGCTGTTTGCTATTAACTAATGAAGACTATTCTAAAAGTAGCCTATTAACACAGTGTATTTGTTTTATGAAATCTTTAGTACAGATGAATTTGATTGGACTAAGTAGAATTCACAGAGCTTCTGGTTGAAGAAATGCAAAGATTACAAGATTTCCTGATGACATTTCTTTTTGTAAATGTATTTTTAAGCCTAGCCAGTGTGACTCAGTGAATTGAGCATCGACCCATGGTCTGAGAGGTCCAGTTCGATTCCTGGTCAGGGCACATGCCCAGGTTGTGGGTTTGATCCCCAGTAGGGGGCATGTAGGAGGCACCCAATCAATGTAGCTCTTGCACATCGATGTTTTTCTCTCTCTCCCTTCCTTTCTGTCTAACAAAATCAATAAAAACATATTTAAAAAATAAAAAATAAATAAGTAAAATGTGTTTTTAATAAATCTTTCTAGGCCATCTTATAGAATATAAGATAGGAGAGAAATTTCAATACCAGTCCCACAGTTTTAAAAAGATGTGGTCTTTCTCCTCTTCCAATAACTAAAGTAATTGCTTTATTAATCATTATAGAATATTTAAAACTTATAAACATAGCAGAATTGATACTACATTGATAGTTATCATTAGGTATTATATTTGTTCCATATTTGTGTATGTGTGTGTTTTACCAGCTTTATTGGGATATTATTGACATATAACATAAATAAGTTTAAGGTGTACAATATCATGATTTGATACATGTAAATATGGAAAAATATTAACCCAATAAGGCTAGTTAACAATTCCATCTCTTCACACCATTTTTTTTCTTAACATCATATTTAAAATTTTCATTGTATTACTAGAAATTCTTCATAAATATAATGTTTGAATCTTGCATCAGTGATACAAATTTTACTTTTACCTCATCTTATTTCCAACTTTTCACTGTAATTTATAACATCGTAAGGAATATGTTTTTTTTAATAAGTCATAAGCAGTTACTGAGTCAAAGGTATATTTTTAGGCTCTTGTGAATATTTTTATAAAATGATTTTCATAGATGATTATAGCTGTGTACATTCCATCACCAGTTTTGAAAATCTCTTATTTTTCGGCCTGAATTTAGTTATATTTTTATAAAATTCTTTGCCAAAGTCAAATATTTAAAAATGGTGTGTTGCCCTAGCTGGGTGGCTCAGTTGGTTGGAGTGTCATCTCATATACCAAAATGTTGAGGGTTCAATTCTCAGGGCACATACCTAGGTTGTGGGTTTGATCACCGGTCAGGGCACCAACGGGAGGCAACTGATCGATGTTTTTCTCTCACATCGATCTCTCTCACTCTAGCCCCCTTCCTTTCTCTATAAAATCAATAAAGGCATATCCTTGGGTGAGATTTTTTTTAAATGGTATCTTTATTTTTATTTGCATGTCATGAGGATTTCATATATATATTTATTTTTATCCTCACCCAAGGACATTTTTTGATATTTTGTTCAGATAGAGTGGGAGGGAGAGAGAGAGAAACATCAACGTGAAAGGGACACATCGAGTGCTTGCTACCCACACGACCCAACCAGGGCCGGAGACAAACTGCAACCGAAGTACGTGCCCTTAGGGGAAACCGAACCCAGGTCTCTCCGGACTGCAGGCGGACACTCTAACCGCTGAGCAAAACCGGCCAGGGCAGCATTTCATATTTTGTCTAGTTTTTTTTTTTATTCTCATCCGAGGACATTTTTGCATTTATCTTCAGATAGGGCAGGAGGGAGAGAGGGAGGAAGAGAGAAAGAGAGAAACATCAATGTGAGAGAGACACATCGACTGGGTGCCATCCACACGACCCCAACTGGGGCCAGGGAGAAACTACAACTGAGGTAAGTTAGCGGGAACCAAACCTGGGACTCTCTGGACTGTGGGCTGACGCTCTAACCACTGAAAATCCGGCCAGGGCTATTTTGTCTAGTTTTGACAGAAGGGTACTGAGCTGCAGTGAAATAGTCTTAGAAAAAGTTGGTTCCGATGGGTAAATCATTAAAAATGATACACATACTCCCTAAACATTTATTTTAAACTTAAAATATATATATGTATATTTCTTTGATTTTGATTCTTTTTCTTTGAGAATACAGGTTTGCCATTTGGAGCAGAATGTCATGTTTCAGGCATAAACCACATCCACACTGCACTGTTTATAAGGTCCAATTTCAGTCTCTTTATAGTAAGAAGGATAACATTCGAAGCAAGCTGAATGTAGAATTCCAGACTTTTATACTTCTTTTTTCTAATATTTTGCATGTGTCTCATCTGCATCAAAATTGACAGAAGATTTTAAGTAACCCATGTTTATTGAATGCTTTGAAAGCATTTGGCCTAATTTTCATGGAATCAACAACTTATGAAAGCAGCAATTCTCTCGTGATCATTTTTTTGTTGTTGTTTTTAATGAAATGTGTCATCATAATTACAAGTTAACTGATATAAACAGCCTTAGGAACAAACTTGTTTGATTTTTGGTGAACATACATTTTTATTGGGGGAAGTGGCAAAGAGAGGTTGTACTGGAGTGTAGCCTACTAGCCAGAAGTATTCAGGGTATTTTATGGACAGATTGGAAAACACTGCTCAGTCTAACAAGTCATTGAAATAGAAGTTGGTGTTTAACAGACTTTCAGTTCTAATAATCTCTGAAACCAGAACTTGTAGTGGGGGTAGAAATTAATCCTAAATCCTACTTATATTTTGCCCTCCCTAACGTCCTTCCTCGACTGATCATCTCCTCTGTGCCATGTACTGTGCCAGGTGGAGTGAATAAAGAGATGAACAGCACACAGTTTCCATTCTCAAGGAGTTGAAATCCAAAGAGGGAGACACTGTAAAACACTGTCTCTGTCGGTTTTCTGCTCTAAATACTAGTCCAGGAGTGTGAGTTATATAGGTGTGAAGGACAAAGAGGATTATCCCATTCAATTTGTTAAGGAGGAAAGATTTCCAAGTGAGGCTTGATCTTAAAGGATGGATAGGAATTAGCTGGACTTGCAGGCTAGGGATGTGTGTTTTCAGATAGGGAGAATAGCATGTACATTCCTTTTACTAACAAGATTAGCAATCCTCTAAATGTCTGCTGACCTATTCACAATTGCCTTATAATTATATGTCTGCCTGCCTGCCAGCCTTCCTTTCTTCCACAGTGAAACTCACCCTGGTCCTCTCCATGCTTTGTGATTACTGTTTCTGAAAAGAACCACAAATCTATAAGCAGCAGAGATTAATGAATGTACAGCAAAATCTTGTGTCCCAGCTTCTCTGCCCTTCTCCACTCTCCCTAGAAATGTTATTAGCAATTCAGGGAAAGTAGTACAGTAGTGACCATCATTTGCTGAATACTTATAATGTATTAGACACTTGTGTAGTGTTTTACAAACATTTGTTCATGTATTTTAATACAAAAAACCCCTCTGTAAGGTAAGAATTAGGATTTCCATGTATAAATGAGGAAACTGAAACTTGGAAAAGCTCAGTAAGTTGCCAAAAGCTTCATAGTTGGAATTCATGAACCAGAATTTGAAGCTATGATTTTCTAACTCAGAAACCCTCTCTCTTAACAATTGCACCAAAATGTGCAATTATGAGGAGGACTTGCTCTAAACCATGGGAGAAAGTTTGGATACTTTTTTTCATAAGGTTCCCCAAGAAAATAATATATTAATATCCAAAGATAATTGAAAAATTACCTTGAGGTTTAATTGTTGTTATGTAACTCATTAATAAATTCAAATTATGTAATTTTTTTCCTACTAGATTATAGTTCCCATAAGACATGCCAGTTGATCAAAATGCAAAGAAAGCGACCACAAACCCCATACCCTCCTTCCACCACTCACCCCACTTTCTCTCATTAGATTATGGATGATTAGTGCCCTTAACAAAATTGGAAAGTTTGACAATGTTCTAAAAATGCCCTTCTTATCCAACCTCCAGTGTATAATCTGATTCAAATGACCTTTCTGTCTGCAACTGAACTTTATAACCTCAGTTGCACTCCCAATCCCCAAACCCCACACCATTGCCAACCCCACAGTCCCTGCCCAAGACATACACATATAACAACCCCATTCCCTAGTTCCACAGAACTCAAAATTCCTTAAACATACCCCCCCCACCCCCACCCCCAAGCTGCTGTGCCTTTACTCCTGCTAGTCCAGTGCCCTTCCAACTTCTGTCATCAGCCTAGGATAATCCTGCTTATTCTTCAAGTGCCAGTACAGGTGGTGTCTTCTCTGTGAAGCCTTCCTTCCTTTTCCAGGAGGGGCAGTGTTTCTCACTTCACTTCCACCCCTCACAGCATTCTGTTCATGTCTTTGATGGAGTCCTTAACACATGTAGTCACAGTTCATTTTCTTTCTGGTTCTGTGTCTCCTCAGTGGGAGTTACTAGAAGGTTAGATCATTATGGGTTATTTATCTTTTACCCTTAGCACCTGCATGTAGTTGCTTCTTAATGAATTATACTGATTTGTTACTGATATTGATAAAATAATTTTTATTAAGTACTTCCTATATCTTAGGCATTATGCTTGATGTTTATACATATTGTTTTATTTAATCCTCATTCTCACTCTGTGATACAGGGGCAGTTATCCTCATGTTACAAATTATAAAATTAATGTTAAGAGAGGCAAAATAATTTGACCAGGGTAACACAGCAAGCAAGTGATGGAGTCAAGGTTTGAACTCAGAGTGTCTAACTCCAGAGCTCATTCTTTTATACCAAAAGGAACAATCAGTCAAATAAAAAAGTTATCTGTGAAGTTAACAACTAGGAGGTACATTTTCTATTTAGACCAACCCTGAATGGCTAAAGGGGAGAATTTAAAAGACACCCTGTCCCCAAAATGATGAGTAAGGTCCCTTGGAAAAGACGAGAGTCATGTGAAAAATCTAGTATGGCTCATTGAAATGTTCTGTGATCACTAATAAAGCTATTATAAGATAATGCAATACTTGGAAAAATAACACTCACACATTGTTTTTGCAGAGTGATCAAGAAAAACAGAAAAGCCACTGTTTGACTGAGAATGATCTGGATCATCCAGTGCCAGAACTACCCTTTTACAGAGAAGACCAAGGTCCAGATTAATTAATTAGCTTGCCCAAGGGCACATTGCTAATAAGTAACAGAACTTGGACTAGAATCCCAGTTTCCTGTGTCCCAGTTCAGAACCCTTTCTACCACAGTGTGCTATATATTAGAGTTGCTGTGTTTCTCTTTGGAGAAAAAAAAAAAAAAAAAAGCTAGACAAAGGCAGAAATGAATCTTTGAGGGAAACAGCTTGATACTTTGGGAGCTGGTCAGCTTTGGCCTAAGACCTGCTGCTATTTTGGGTTCTCGGTTTGCTCAGAACTAAATACTGCCAACCATACAAATAAAATGGCAAAGCTATTATTTAGGCCTCCTAGGTCTGTGCATTCATGTCTCTGCTTGCAAGGACAAATGATCAGTACATCTTTGTTGGGCAGCTTGAACATAAGATTATATTAGCCCTTATCTTAGCCCTTAGACATCTACTGGTTTTTCTTTGTTACAATAAATGCACAAGCCTTGCTTTCAAGTTGGGAAAAGAGAAGGAAAAGAAGACTAAATTGGTCTCTACCAATGTTGATTTCTAATGCTGTTTCTTTCTCTTTCTTTCAGGGTGACGAGGAAGGACCCAGGTAAGATCACATTATTGCTGCTTGTCTATTCTCAGCATTGAAGTAGAGTGACATTGTGGCCTTTTAATTCCCCATGAAATATGGACAGTCAAGAAGCAGCACAGAAAAGGGATTTCCATCCTAAGCCAGAGCTTTGATCTTATTTTGTAAGATTCCCATCTTCCTCCCCATCTATGCCATTTCCTGCCTGTAACCTTCAGATAAAGGTAGACTTTAAAGTATGTAATGAGAATAACATTGCTTTATTCTTTAGCACATTCAGAATATCTGTTAAGAAGAATAGTAATTAGGCTCTCAGGTGGACTCACTAGATAAACTTCTGCATTATTCTTTCTTGATTGGAATCGGGGAGCTTTTTTTTTAATGGGCCCTGGATCCAATATTATTTATTTCTGACCTGTGATATCTTTGTGTTCAACTCAAGACACCTATACAATGAATCCTAGATCATAAGTATTAAAAAAATGTGTTTAGGAAAAATGCTCCTTTGTGCTTCTGTATCACCAAATGAAATTTATTTTATTTCTTTTTCTTTATTGATTTTTAGAGAGAGAGATAGAAACATTGATGAAAGAGAACATCAATTGGCCGCCTCCTGCATGCTCCTCACTGGGGATTTGGCCCACAGCCTGGGCATGTACCCTGACTGGGAATCGAACTGGTGACCTTTGGAGAATGGGTCAATGTTCAACCTCTGAGCAACACTAGTCAGACTTATCACATGAAATTTAAAAGTGCATTTCAGCCCTGGCCAGTTTGGCTCAGCAGTTAGAGCGCCAGCCTTTGGACCAGAGAGTTGTGGGTTCAGTTCCCACTGTGGGCATGTACTTCGGTTGCGGTTCATCCCCTGCCCCGGTTGGGTTCATGTGGGTGGCAACCAGTTAATGTGTCCCTCTCACATCGATGTTTCTCTCTCTTCTCCCTCTCTCCCTCCTGCTCTATCTGAAGATAAATGCAAAAATGTGCTCGGGTGAGGATAAAAAAAAAAAGAAAGAAGGTGCATTTCATTTTGGCCTTAGCCTTGCAGTGCACCTGGATTTTGATTTACTTACCTTTCCTGTCATTCTGCCCAGGTAGTGAGCACAGGCTCCAGCAAATGCTGCAGCTGTGCCATCAACACAACTGAGAGGCATTTGTACAAAGTAAAGTACAATGTCCACGTGGGTCCCTTCTGTCACATAGTATCAAGGACTGCTAAGGCTGAGAGGTATTGGAAAGGTCATCCAAGCCACTGCTATTTAGAACTTTAGTTACAACAGAAACACCCTTTTTTCCAAATGGGCTTTAAGTAGAACCCCAGTGTAAAAAACAATTTTCCTCTGGTTAAAGTCGGAGGCCACATCTGCTGGTAAACCTCCTTTTCATTACAATAGACCACGAGGGACTTCTGCAGAAACATAGGTTTCCTCAGAACTCAGTTTGAAAATCACTAATCTAGTTTAGGTTTCTCATTGAAAGAAGCTAAATGAATTGTCCAAGGTTGTTTTGCTGTGAAGCCAAGATTCAGCCCTTCTTTGGTTTTATTTGAAAACCTACAAATACAGTCCTTTTTTCTTTCTCTTGTCCCACATCCTGAGCCTCTTTCTTAATGCCAAATGTTATCCTCACATCTGTATCTCCTGGTGTTTACCTCCCTTGGGAACTGTGGTTCTCAGCCTGGATCTAGCTCTTTGTCTACCGTGGTAAAGCCACGGGTGCCCTGCTTTAAGCTTACAGAGCCTCAGGGGATCCCTTCAAATTTTATCCAGCCATTCTCAGGAACAGGCCTTCCCTCCCTCCCTCCCTTCTTGCCTTCCTTTGTTTTTTTCCCTTTCTCTCTTCCTCCCTTTCTTTTCTTATGATCCTACTATATGTGAGGCACTGTGCTATATACTGGGTATATAATGGTAGCTAAAACAGACATGGTCCCTGACCTTGTGGGAGAGATGAGCATATAACCAGGCACTGATGCAGTGCGGCAAGTGCTATGACAAGGGAAGTTTATGGCTACTTTAAGAAGGGCTCTAAGTCAGTCATGGAAGATAAGGGGATGCTTGCCAGAAAAGTTATATATAAACAGAGGCCTAAAAAATGAGGAAGCAGACACGAGGAGCAGGGGTAAGGGTTGTTCTAGGGAACAACTTTTTTAAAAGCTCTAAATAAGAGAACAGTAGAGGGAAGAAAGCAGAATCTAGATCATTTAGTGCCTTATAGGCCTCTTTAAGGTATTTGAGCCCTGTCCTGCAGATAGTGGGAAGACATTCAGGAATTTTTTTTTCTTTATTGATTTTAGAGAGAGAGGAAGGGAGAGGGAGATAGAATGATCAATGAGAGAGAACATCAATTGGCCACCTTCTGCTTGGCCCACAATCTGGGCATGTGCCCTGACCGGTGATCGAACTGGTGACCTTTTGGTGCATGGGTCATCACTGAACCACTGAGCCACACTGGCCAGGCAACATTCAGGAATTTTAAACACTAGAGTTTAGAAGACTAGCTAGATTACGCTAGCGATGATAAAAGCCTAAATAAACAACTTCTGTAGCTATTGACTAAGTTTTCACCATTTTGCATAGACCTTTTGTTTAGACACACTGTTTATTTATTTATTTATTTATTTATTTATTTTTTAATCCTCACCCAAGGACATTTTTCCATTTTTTGTTCAGATAGAGTGGGAAGGAGGGAGAGGGAGAGAGAGAGAGAGAAACATCGATGTGAAAGGGACACATCGAGTGGCTGCCACCCGCATGACCAACCAGGGCAGGGACAAACTGCAACTGAGGTACGTGCCCTTAGTGGGAACCAAACCCGGGTCTCTCTGGACCGCAGGCTGACGTTCTATCCACTGAGCCAAACCAGCCAGGGCTAAACACACTGTTTAAATTATTTCATAGGCACTCCACCTCGTCTCACAAAACTTAGCTCTAGCTCCTTAAAATCCAGGCCAAGCAGAGCCTTAGACCTTTTTCCCACAGAAAGAGAGTTCAAATAAGACTGATATAAAGAAGACACCTTAGAGATGTAATGTGCAGGCTCCACAGGGTAGAAATGGCATTTCTGTCTTGGGAGAGCCTGATTAGGATAAAACTCTCATCTGTCTTTATGGTCACATGCCAGAGTCTCGTTGATTAGAAGACTACAGGGACCTTATGAAGAGATTAACTCCTTATGAAGATATTATTCAGTGAGAGAGATGGACTTTAGAATTTAATTGCTAATACCCTTGTGTCATTTTGAGAAGATAATGGTAAAGCATAGAGTTTCTTTACTAGCAACCGTGATGTCGAGCTATTTCCCTCGAGCCAGGCTGCCATGATGTCAGTAGGGATTCTGTTAAACTAGAACTTGAAAAAAAAACCTATTTTGGTAAAATGAATACTTGAAAAGTGTGTTCCATTTTGGCATAAAGAGGAGTCAGATTTTCTTTTTAACCTTTAAATTCATGCTTGTTGTTTCCATTCAGTTTGCTTGTGTTGAATTTCCATTTGGCTCAGTTTATTCCAATTAACACTTCAGGGCAGATTGCCTTTGATCAGAAAGTTCTTTTATTTATGATAGACACTTTACCATCTCAATAAGCCAAACAGAGTTTTGTTCCTGAGGCTTATATATTGCTGACAGCATTAAGTGAGTGTTTGATGTAGTATAAGGGAGATAGGAAGGCACACAGTGTAGGTGTGTGTGCACAGGAGATGGAAGAGAAGTTAATCTGGAGAGCCTGAGTTCAGGTCTCCTTTGCTAGCATTCCAGTCACTTCCCCACAGTCTGCACAGAAGTTCAGGGAGATTTGGATTTCAGCTACTATCCACGGTGGCAGGAACAAAGAAGAATTCTGCCCTATTGAAATGTATTGGTCTATAATAGATCTATGCCCTTTTTTTTCTTTTTACCAGCTGGAGTCTCCCTGCCTTCTTTCCTCGTTTCAGTTTTGACTTCTCAAGCTGTTTGACATGAGGTGGCCAAGTATTTGTACTTTGGGTCATATCTTTTTCTTGCCCTGTATTTTATTGTGTAGTGGACCTGGTAATTAACAACGGTAATAATCATAACTACTATTTATTGAAGGTTTATCTTGTATAGTGCTTTACATGTATTTTCATTTAATCCTTACATAAAGCTTTTATGTGGTCATTCTCTTACTTGTGAAACGAGGAAATTAATGCTCAGAAACATTAGCTTGCCCTGGATCACACAGATAGTAAAGTGGCAGAGCTAGGACTTTAGTCTGACTTCAGGGCTTGTGCCCTCGACCACCATTCAGACTATTCCCAAGAAGCTAGCACATGTCTCTCTATGAAACTGCATGAAAGCCAAGAGGATTCACACACAATCCTCAGAGGGTCAATTTGGTCTTGTTCCTCTATCTTGGTAGTTCTTACTTGCTTTGACATTGCATTGCTATGGCCTCTGTTTTCTGTAAGCTGCTTCTCCTTTCCTTAGCCTCTGTCATTATAAAGGGATATTTCTTTATTTGATCTTCACACAGTCTCCTCGGAGGGTCAGCAGCAAACGAGGTGCTTGTCGATTTCCTGAGGAGCGGCCAAGCAAGCCTTCCTTTGGCCCCACAGAATAGCTTGTCTGTTGCCCTTCCATGTTATAGTAGTTTACTCTTCAAATCCAGGATACAGTCATATTAATGGCAAGGGTTCTTGGAGAGCATGGAGGAGCAAAAGTCCTTATATGTAGAACATGGATATTAATCACTGACAAGTCGTCTTTTAAGAGGGCATCTTTGAAACCCATAGAGATTCTTTTTTTTTTCTCCAAGCAAAAAAAAGTAATTTACACTTTGGGTAGCAATTTTCTGTCTTCTCTATGCTATAATTGGAGATCTTGTGTTCTCTCCCTCAGAGATTGGCTCCATCTCTACTCCTGCAGGGAGCCTGCTGAGAAGTAATATATATTCCAAGAGAGGGGGTGGCAATAGGATCGGCTGCATAGAAAGCTGTCATGTAGTGGGAGGAAGTCAGAGGAAAGGACCCTTCAACTCCTGTGCTCAGAGGAGAAAGGAACAAGAT